GACTCAGTTGACCACAATTGCTTTGATCGTAACGTTGATAAGACGCGATTGAATTCGATTTGCGTCTCGTTGTTCCGTAGATATCGCACCAATTCTCTCGGCGGTCGAAGATTACCAAAACTGTCGAAATATATAGTACGATTGCCCCTCTTTGCGTATGCCACCCAATGAGTACCGAGTCCCTCAGCATTGTCCAAATTCACGATACCGCTCTCATTTCGACGTACTCCTCCCGTCGGTAAAGTGGTTCGCATTAAAATACCTCTGAAATATGGAATATGCATACGTTCAACCAATTGTTGCAGTTGTATGTTGGTAATTGCGCCTGTTGGAAATTTTAACATTTTTTTCTTGAGTTTTTTTTTCGCATCGAGACGCCTCGGCCGCGCTTATACGGAGCGAGATAAACTCTCTGACCTTCCATGACGCGATTGTGACGTTTCAATTCTTCCAGTTGACGCTGCGTGGCTTTGTTATCGCTCACGGCCTTCGCGACTCCCGCCGCTCCGCCGACCAACGAACCGACAACGCCCAACAATGGCAAGAGTGGCAGGATACCTCCGCGTTTAGCTACCGGAAGTATTCGCTTGCTCCTTTTCTTATTCGTTTTTAAACCCATGCCGAATTTCGTCTTAGCTTTCATAACTGCCCAAACAGCTGTGTCTGCGGCTCTCTCTCCAAGAGTCGAATTTCTCGCGGTTATGCGTTTTCGCGTTTTCGCGACGAGTATGTTGTCAGCCACGTGCCGTTCAGCGAGTTCGTTGCTCCGCGAATATGCGATGTCGTGCTCGCGACACGCCGCGTCCAGCGGATTAATGCTCCGATCACCTCTAGCCAATCGCTGTTCTAAATGCGTTCCCGGGCCGCAAAACTGATATCCGGGGATATGCAATTCAAAAGGAAGCACATTTATCGCGCGATTTATCAAACCGCGGCCTCTCGACGGCATTCGCTGCAATTCTTTACAAACGGTGCAGGACCGTCAATATGTGTTTGCTGCCCCGGTTGATTGTAATGTTTCAGACACCGACGATATTGTTAAACTTCCGAATCAGCTTTTATATGTTCGGGTAATTTGTCCCACAATTTACTTATACAGTTTGGAAACTCTCGCAGCAAAACGACTTTCGGTATATACTCTAACTCTTTGTTGGTTAAACTGAGAATATCACTGTTATTTGACACGATAAGAAACATTTTGGCAACTGAGCACATTCGCGCTACGCGCTTCTATAAATAGGTCCGCTCTCGATAAATTCTTCAGAGTATTATGTGGGGGCAGAAAAGATGCGGTTCGTGCGACAGTCGCAGACGATCAAAGTGATAAATTTTGTTGATAAGATAAGGTTAATGTCAGATAAAAAGATACGTAAGCATGGAAACATGCTACCGATTTCTATACGCGGTATCATCTGTGGCCCATCAAACTGCGGCAAGACAAACGTGCTGATAAGCTTGCTGGAGAGTCCGCACGGCGTACGCTTCGAGAACGTGTACGTGTACTCAAAATCATTGCAACAACCGAAATATCAATACTTGGAAAAGTTATTAACCTTGATAGAAGAAATCAGCTATTATACATTCTCCAATAATAGCGACATCGTCCCACCAAACGAAGCGCTTCCGAATTCCATCTTTATCTTTGATAACGTGGCATGCGACAAGCAAGATGCGATAAGATGTGACGGTTCGCTTTTCTTGCGCTCGGATATGCTCGTCGGGCCAGGTAGGCAAGAAATCGTGAGATGACCAACGCATGTTAGCGTTTCTTTACCGAGGGTCAGAGAGACGGTCGGTACGTCGGCGGGACCAGTCGGCGGTAGATCCGGTGCTCCGAGCGGTTCGGTCGGTAACGGTGGAACGGCGCGGATGTTCTCGATGGTCGGTTGCCGAGCGGCACTTAGGCGCAGCGAAATCGATAGCCGGTCTATGTCGGCCAGGCGCCCTGGCCCGACAGAAAGGAGAAGCCAGGCGCCCTGGCCTTCTCTGTGCGCACGGTGTTGGTGCCAACGGGATGCCCTCACCGGGCAGGAGGCGAAGAGGCCAGGCGCCTTGGCCCTCTTCGCTGTATGCAGGAGATCGGAAGAAGTCAGGCGCCCTGACCTTCTTCGCAAGGGACGCAAGGAAGCCAGGCGCCCTGGCTCTCCTCGCAAGGAACGTGAAGAAGTCAGGCGCCCTGACTCTCTTCGCAAGGAACGCGTGGAAGTCAGGCGCCCTGACTCTCCTCGCAAGGAACGTAAAGAAGTCAGGCGCCCTGACTCTCTTCAGAAGGAACGCGAGGAAATCAGGCGCCCTGACTCTCCTCGCAAGGAACGGGAAGAAGTCAGGCGCCTTGACTCTCTTCGGAAGGAACGCGAGGAAATCAGGCGCCCTGATTATCTTCGCAGGAGGAACGGTCTCGACAGGAGTAGGTTCGGGACCGGACTGGTAGCCGTCGCTCCGCGGCGGTGGCTTATATACCCCCGCCGATGGGCTTCGGCGGGGGCTGCGGAGAGGGGTCGCTCACCCGTAACACGCTCGGCGCGCGTGTTAGTCGGAGTTGTGGCGCTGAGCGCCAGGGGCGACTGGTCGGCCCCTTGTGGTGACGAGGCGGGGGCGTATCGTCACAAAGAGAATACTTTGCAATGGGCCGACACACGGACGTTGACAGTTTCTATCTCTGTCAGACTTATGCAAAAATACCGAAGCATCTTATACGCGACAACGCGAATTTTTTGATCCTGTTCAAACAGAATGGTACAAATCTGAAACATGTGTACAACGATCACGTAAACACTGACATGTCTTACAAGAATTTCTGTAAATTGTGTCACAATTGCTGGTAACAAAAGTATGGAATTCTAGTGATAGACAAGGACAGCGCACTTGTCAGTGGACGATATAGAAAAGGATTTAATGACTTTGCGGTACTGTAACGTGGTTAGTTGTCAATACATCGATTGTGCAACATTCCCGACATGGAGGATCGCGAGAGAATAGCGCAACAGATTAAAAAAACGAGCGATTCCATTCGCAAAAAATATCGCGCCTTGAAAACTGGTAGAAAAGAAAAAGATATCGCGTTGGAGAGACACTTTAGGTCCATCATCGAACCTCTAAAACAAATTGCTGAAAATACTGTCGACGATGAAATGGTCGAGAACGAATCGTTCTTTTCGGGAGTAGACGAAGGATATATAAAACCAACACCCAAACGAAAAAAATCAAGCGCCTCGTTAGACAATTCTATACTGGCTTTCACTCCGGTTAAATCAATGCTGAAACGTTCGAAAACTGTGCCGTCTACTTTGAATGAAATGTCTGAAATATCACACAATGAATTGTACGCTTCCTCCGTTGAAGAAATTTTCGAAATCGCCAATGAGCCACTCGTAACATCCGTTCGAAACCAATTGCAAACATCCGAGGGACAAGAAAAGTTGCAAATGTACTATGGCCCTTTGGGACAATAATATCTGGGGGCGGTCCTAAACGGTAAAAAAGTGGTCAACATAGACGACGTTTACGGAGTTTATTTTAGCAATGAGGGAACGAAGCTCGGCAACAAACGAATCGCCTTGGATAAAAACAATAATATAATCATAGACGGTAAATGTTATGCTGGAACGCCAGGACTTTACGAATTGATTTTCATGTGTTATCCAAATGAAGCAGTCTACAATGACGATGACCTACAGAAATATCAGAGTATTCTATTAGCTACAAACGCGTACAGACGCGATCGCAGCGCGCAGGGTCAAATAATGGGTAACAAGGGACACAAGTATAAGAATATAATCGCATCCCTGCTGCCACAAGTTGTAAAAAGCGGTAACAAAGTTGGAAAATGTATTCCGCGCACCATGACAGTGAATGATAACAAGATTGAGTACATTCATTGGGACGATCCCAATGAGCTTGTGGATCGCCTCCGATTGCTCGAGGCCTCGCGCCAAGCTGGTCACAATGCGCACGACAACGAGATGCTGTCGATTATCGAGGAACTTCGCAAAGCTAGTATTATTATAAATTAGACACAGTCCGAATCATTTAGTTAACATCGAGATGCTGATCAACAAGTTTGGAACGTCGCTCGGTATAGGCGGAACAAGTTCGTACTACCAGTTGAGTGGACTACTCAGAAATTACGTGCGCGATAACGCTCTTTGCGTAGTTGCATCCGACTTTGACGCAAAGTCACGCAAGATTCGATGTGTAACGCTGCCGGTAGATGATAGCGATGTCACCAGCAAACGTTTCGTGCAACAGACGTGCAAGTTTTGAAAGATCGACAGGACGAAATCGAGAGAAAGATTACCGCGCTTCAAAATAATATGCAAATGCTCATTAACGAGCTTTGAAAGTTGATTCAAGAAACACATCATCGCGCTGAATAGAAAAGACTCGAACATGTCCAAAAAGAAAAGTCGCGAAAAGCAGCAGCTGATTGAAGAACTGCACGCTCCCGCGAGAAGAAATTTTCCACGAAGACGCGTCATAGTTTGCGGTTACAATGACCTGTGGCAGGCGGATGTGGTCGAGATGCGTCCTTACACGCGATTCAACAGAGATTACCACTACATTCTCACCGTTATTGATGTGCTGAATAAGCATGCATGAGCCGTACTTCTCAAGGCCAAAAGCGGAAGTGATGTGTCTAAAGCGATCGCAGAGATAATTCGACACGATGGAAGATGCCCGAAAAATTTACAGACCGACAGGGGAAAAGAATTTTATAACGCCAACGTGCATCTCTTAAAGAAACATAACATCAATCATTATTCTACATATTCCGTAATGAAGGCATCAGTCGCCGAGCGGTTCAACCGTACGTTGAAAAACAGCATGTGGAAGCAGTTTACACACAATGGAAACTATAGATGGATCGATTTGTTACCGCGTCTCATGTCTAAATACAACGCGCGAAAGCATCGAACTATCGGTATGCGGCCCATTGACGTCACCCCAGCAATCGCTAACAAGCTCTTAACCACTGTACATAACCGCGTAAAGATCGCCGCACCCGCGCGATTCAAAGTGGATGACTCGGTACGCGTGAGTAAATTTAAAACAATTTTTGAAAAAGGTTACACGCCAAATTGAACCATGGAAGTGTTTAAAATCACCAAAGTGTAGAAAACTAATCCCGTAACGTATCTTGGAGGATTCTCGCGGAAAATCCATAGCCGGAGGATTCTACGAATATGAACTGCAGCGCGTTGCTAATCCCGACGTGTACCTCGTCGAAAAAGTTTTGCGCAAAAGAGGAAATGAGGTATACGTGAAATGGCTGGGATTGGACGATTCACATAATTTATGGATACACAAGGATAACGTATTGTAAAATAAATTTATATAGCAAATTGTTTTTTCGTTATATACATAAAACATTATGTTTATTAAAAATATATGAGATTAATACAAATATCCTATATGTGTTTATTACAAATATGCGAGTTTTTTTATTTACAATGGTATCTTATAATGTCCCCATGGCAGGGTAGAATGGTCGGTAGAATCAGGCACAATGTATCGCTTATCATCGTACGGACTTAGAGCGAGCTTCGTCTCGGATATCGTATACACTTCGTGCAACTTCGATCTTATGCAAGATTGCTGTCGCGTCATTTCAGTTTCATCAAGCAGACATCGCACGTAATCGTTAAATGTTATCGATTTTGCTACAACATTACTCTTGACACCTTTTACCTTTTTGTTATCTTTTTTACCATTAACACGCAAGGCATA